TTCATGATTTGGACGACGAGCCCCATCCCGACCGGTCAAAGGGGGCGGGCAAGGAAAAGACCAGTCGTCGTCAGAAGAAGGTGGCCACAACCCACCCCTCTTATGCCAAGAAGAGGGCGAGGTCGGATTCTGAGCCGGCCTCCCAGACCATTGAAGAGGCCTTTGTCAACCTGGGCCTGAGGCTGAAAGAGGTAAGGCCATTCCCTACCCCGGTTGAATCTGGGTTACTTTTTGTAATAGTTTAACCGGTTTCTTTGCTTGTGCAGAAAGGGGAAATTGGGCCCCATACAGTTGAGCAGCTGGGGATGGGCTCTCCCTCAGAGGTGGCCCGGTTAGAGAAGGAGAAGGAAGAAATGGCTCTCTTGAAGAGCCAAGCAGACGAGCTTGCCCGGCTTTCCGATTTGGCTGGGACATTGAAGGTGGAGACCTCCCAGCTTAAGGAAGAGAACAGCCGGCTGATGGACGAGGTCTCAGAGACGAGCTTTCCCGGTCGCGCTGCTGCATGGGTGGGAGAGAACAAGGCCGAAGCAGCCCGGGTGATGACTGCCAACCTGGAAGACACCGTGGAATCCTTCAAACTCCTTTACCGGGAACCTGAAGGGAGGAAGATGATCACCAAGATTGGCTCTTTTGGATTCAAATGCGGCCAGAAGAAAGATCGGACTGCCTCCCACCGGGTCTTGTTGAAGAGGGATCCGGAGTTCACCGCTGCTTCCTATGGCCTGGAGCCTATTCCAGAAGAAGAACCTACTCCCCCTTTCCCTCTAGATTAGAATCTCCCCGGACGTTGCCGGTTGTTTTGTAAAACTTGAATCTACCTTCATTTCCCTGGGGATGCCCGGCATATCTGTAAACGCTTAACTTTCTCGTTTTGGTTGAATATGATGCTTGATTTTCGTACCGGTTAATCTCCCATATCTGCTTGCTTCATGATTGCTACTTTTTGTTGCTTCTTAGATATTCTGACTGGTAGATATATCAGGCCACTTCTCAATTGTTTTCGACCGGTAGAACTTCCAAGTTCTAGATCACTTTATTTGAAAGTCCAGCTCGAGTGACTTTGACCGGTTAACTCCAACTTGATGGTCAATTTGAAAAATGTTTGACCGGCTGGACTTCATTTTGGTTTTTGAACACCTTCGTTCTTGTTTTGAAAGTGAAGCGCAGTTTGACCGGTAGGTCCCTTCTCCACGGTCTGATCGGTGAACTGCTTCGCCTTGTGGAACTTTCAAAGTTCCGCTGTATCAATACCCAACCGGGGTAATTCTTTTTTTTTTGTGACCGGTAGGTTGTAGATGGAGCACCTGTAACCTAATAATTTCTTGAAGTATCCTTAACCGGTAAGAATACTGGAGAATTAACCATGTTCGAATGGTTTCGAACCTTCTCCAAGGTTCAAATGCACCCTTCTTCCAGGGCCCCCTCTTCCGGGTGATTAAGTCTTTTAATGGCCCTTTGATTTCTACCATCCCGGGAAGGCCTTAGCTCACCCCCCCGTTCAAGTCTTCCCTGAGAAGGGGGAAATAGGATGCGCCGCGGTGGACGATCCCCTTCTATTTCTTTTAATGGGCATCTTTTAGTCCCCAATCAATTTGATGGCGCCGGCTGATTCCCCGACACCGGTCAAATCTCATGGGCCCGTGTAAGTACGGTTCGAACCCTCTTCCAGGTCCAGCCCTCTTGCAGGCATACCCTCTTCCGGGCCCCTCTTCCGGGTTTTAAATTTTTTCTATTATACTGAGCAAGACCGGTGTAGTAACCAGCGTGCCAGGTCCGGGCCTGTGTCTCAGTTGGCTTATCCGAGTGGATTCGATCCACCCGGGAAGCCCTCCTAGGATAGGTCCGACCTATCAATTCTGCTGCTACCATGTAGAGTATTGAATGTCATCGGTTTGATTGATAATAAAGTAGGCCTTGCCTACTATTACAATCATTTGTAGAACTTGCGAAGATGATGGGAATTCCAGGTTCTTTCTACCGGTATACCATCAAGAGTTTCTAACTGGTAGGTCCCCGGGCGAATGATAACTCTCACCCGGTAGGGTCCTTCCCAGTTTTTGGCCAGCTTTCCCCCGTCTCCCGGTCTACTAGCCTCCCTTCTTCGCAGGACTTCATCGCCGACTTGAAAGTATCGCGGTCCAACCTTGTTGTCATGGTATTTCTTCACGACTTGTTGATATGTGCTCATTTTAACTTCCGCGGCCATTCTCCGTTCTTCGACCAAGTTGAGTTCGGCCAAGTGATCTTCTTCGTTCTGCTGGGGTTGATAATTTGATTCCCGAAACGTCGGGAATTCGGCTTCGATGGGCAGCCTTGCCTCACACCCATAGGTTAGGGAGAATGGAGTTTCCCCATGAGCCCTCCTGGGTGTTACTCGGAACGCCCAGATGATATGTGGGAGCTCTTCCAGCCACTTGTTTCCCGCTTCTCCCAACCGTTTCTTTAGGCCATCCACAATCGTTCGGTTGGCGTTTTCAACCTGGCCATTTCCTTGGGGGTACGCCACCGAGGAGCGATTGTGCTTGATTCCGAAGCCCTCCAAGTATTCAGTGAATCTTGGATTTCGGAATTGTGGGC